ACCTCTCATTCAATGTGGTTGATTAGTACTTGAGTAATTTTTGACCAAAACAGTTTTTTGCATTGCATTTTCATAAGAAAGAAATTCAAAAATTCAAAAAAATATATTTTTGTTTTTATTTTTCTGCATCATTATAAATAAAAAACCCAAAATTTTTATTTTCTACATTTTGAAAAAAACAAAAAACACATGAGATGAGGACATTCTTGCATTTGATATCTATGTATACGTGGAAAATGACAGTCTGTAACGATCAGATTGATAGTGGTAAGTTCAGTAATAGTTCCCATAAATAGGAGTCGCAAAACACCGTGATCTGAGTCGCCGACTGTAAAAAATAAAATAAATGGCGTATTGAAACACTGTGTTGGCGGTAATAACAGTTCAAAATGATTTGCTTATTATTATTTAAAAAGAACCTTGATCGATAAGTCTGAACCTACAGAACATGGTCCTATTTGTTGACATGCGTTACCCTCACGGTAACTGAGTACCTAATATCAGATCCACACAGTCAAAGGAAGGAATGGTATAACTATCATATCTGATACCCAAGTTAAGTTCAAGCACTTAATCGAAGAAATCTCAAGAAATTCAAAAAGTTGACTGAAGAACTCAAGCTAAAGACAAGATACACATTCAAGTTCAATCAAATTAAGAGTTACAACGAAGACAAATTTGGCTCAAGAAGAATTGTGTGATAAGATATTTGTCATTCTCTAACAAGTGAAAGCATGAGATGGGCTCCTATGGGGGTTGGCTGCTTCGACGAAAGCTGATTCGACTGTGCGGGTTCTTAAGGATGCGTCGATTCTTGTTCTTAGTTATCTAGTCTTAAGGACATGAAATTCTTAAATGTGTTATTTTCGCTTGGAAGACTAATTAAGGTATAAAGCTTAAATAAAAGTTGCAATTGGATTATTGGTTCACACCATCGAGCTTCTTCCTGACTTTGGGAATCTGTGAGAGATGGAAGGTATCGTAATGATCGTCTAGGTAGTGATTCCATTGAGCTTCCCTCGGTGTTAAGTCTGATTATGTTAAAAAAAAGTAAAGTATTTTTAGTTAAAGTTTTTAATTTCTTTTATTTAAAATTCTTTTTTGGTCATCTACATCTTTCCATTTTGGTAATAATGTTTAATCTTTTTATTACATGAGGGCAAGTAAGGTTCAAGCTTGGAGAGATTTGATAGATGCCATTTTATGCATCTTTTAGGTAGTTTTTTTTATCATTTAGCATCATAATTTGTATATTTGCATGTCATTAGTTTAAATAATGTTCATCTCATGTCATTCGTTAGAATTCCCGTACAACTCATGTTTTTATGTCATTTTCAGATAATTCGAGTGGAGCAGTACTTTGGGAGCAACTTTGGATGCGTTTGATGGAGCATTGGAGGTAATTTGAGCTTGGAACTTATGAAGGACGTTGAGGAATGCTTCGAAGATGTTTTGGTCAAGAAATATTAGATCGAATTGATCATACAATGATCGATTGCTACATTCTAAAGCCAAAAGGATGTTGTTGGCAGCTTTGATCCCATGTCAGTATTTTGACCATATCTCATGGCTCGTAACTCCAATTGATGATATTCAAAATGTTCAGAAAAGTAGACAAAATTCCAGACGACTTTCCTGTTTGTGAAAAAATCGGAAAAAAAATTCAATGGAAGTTTGCCAAATTCGATCGAATAAACACTTCGCTGAAAAAAATCCTGAAAAATCAGAAAAATGAAAATTTCGATCATAGCATGAAAAATTCGATCGTGTGCCCTAAAAATTCGATCGAATTTTATGTTTTCTTGCTTCCGAAGACTCTGGCTCATATATATATGATGCCTCTCTGATCAGATGAGGGTTGGACAATCCTTGAAGCTCCAGACTACGAAAAATACAATTTCTAAGGCAATTTCTCTTCGATTTCAGTGATTTTTGAAGATCTAAAAGTTGAAGATCATCACCTACATTTAGTTAGATAGTTTAATCAGTTAGTTTATCTTTTTATTAGTTTTAATTCGTTATTAGCCATGTCTGGCTAAACCCTAGTTTTCAGTTCTGTAAAAGACTAGTACTTTTCATGTGATCATTATCATATTTGGTTTTCATTGTGTGCTTTCTATCTAGTTGTTTCAGTTTTGAGCTTACTGAATGTTTGATTTTTAATTCTTATTAGTCTGATCACCTAGCTAAGGTTTAATCATTCCAGTTAATCAGTTAATAGAATCTGTAATTATTCTTGTCAATTGGTAATAAGTAACATGTATCAGATTGGTTCCATATTAGGGATTTAACTCTAATATTAACTGAAATTTCGTACTTTTACACTTCCGAGCTTGTGAGAAGTATTGGGTATTGCTGACAATTTTACACAAAAATTAATGCAACTTTTCTATTCTTAATCAAGACCTTGTTTAATTAGACAGTAAAAAGTTAGTGTTAACTGAATAGCTTGTTTTGGTTAATTTAACTACGTAAAAGAGATTATACTAGAGTTTGTTAGTTTTTCTCAGTACCAGCTTAGATAGCACGCATTTAGAATAATCAGATCTGAACTGATTGTATGATTAGGAAAGTTGCAGCAAAATTGAATTCTTTTTTATTATTGATTTTTGTTTAATTTAATTTCAATGCAATTTTTAATTTATAGTTTAAATCGAATCCCCTTTTTTATATTTCTGTTTTGAATAGAATGTGCCTTATGCAAAAAGACATTGACTGTTAGGCTGTGTCCTTAAGGATTCGACCATGCTTCCCTGTATTATCCATTAATGCAACCAACCGTGATATTTTATTTGCTTAATACACATGCGACAACGTGTTAGCACTCATCAATATTATGTTGAATTTTTCAAAAATACATGTATTCTCAGGGAGATGAGTGTGGAGGATAGTCATGTCAAGGAGGAGGATATCTTCAAGGAAGCTTGCTGGAGTTAGTTCCGTCTGTTTATCGTTTTTAGTCATGTTTAGGATGCGTTCTTGACTTTTAAAACAATGTAATCCTAGAACAATTTATAATAAATAAAAAAAAACGTTTGTGATATACCTTTGTGTTATGTTATATATATATATATATATATATATATATATATATATATATATATATATATATATATATATTTGCATCTGTCCAATTTCCCCACCTTCGCACCGCTGGCGTTTCCGCCGCCAGCCGGGGGTGTGGTATGCACTCACATACTTGGTGGGCAAGTTATAATCTAATAAGGACTCCTAGACCTCCCCTATAAATAAATGGTATGATTTCCAAAATGCAACACATCAGAACTTTTGATTTCTAGCTTCAAACCCTAGAGAAATCAGGCTCCTCTCTTTTTAGGGTTTGCGTGTGGTGAGTTCCAGAGTTGCCTTGGTTGGTCTACTACTTCTTGGGTAACATCACAGTTGATGAATCTTACAATGCGTTCTCATCCATCATATCAACTAGCAAGAAAGAAGAAATCAAAGACTACGAAAGTTTCTTTTTCATTCTCTTTAATTTTAACTGTTGCATTGATTGGTTTGAACATGGATTCGGCTTTTGCGTTAGGTGTTATAGTTTTGTTGTTTATTGCTTCCTCTATGTATGCGCCTTTGTGGCCAAAGATCATCCTAACCCAACAGGGCATACACAATTCCTATACCCATATTGAAAATTCCCTTACCAATGCTTGTAGTCGTTATGTAGACTTCTCTGGCTTATTATGTTGTTGGATATCACCCTGAACCGGGAAGGTACTTTACAACTTAAACACTATCTCAGATGCAACTTATTATGTAACTTTCATTATTGCGTGTGGTTTTTCACTTTTTGATGGTTCTTACGCCAACTACTCTTAGGGCATCCACAATGGGGGTTCAATCGGAGTTGAATAGATGGTGACTAGGATTGAATAGATGTTGAATGGAGTGTGAATGATGACATGGAGGAGGGTTGAATGGTAGAAGTGTATGATCATTGAGTGGTTGAATGAAATTAATCTTTTCTTTTTTAATTAAATTTCAAACAAAATATATATGTAATCATATTCTCTTATATATTTTATATTTGATTATTATATTTTTTTTAATTAAATCACAAATAAAATTAACCACATTTTTAGGTATTATATTATTTAATAAATCAATTTTTAGGTGTCTTATTTTTTTAAAATAAATAATACAAATGAAGTATTTAAAAATAAAAACTCACTTGAAAAGAAAATGTGGAATTTTATTAAATTTATAATTATGTTATTTGATTTTTATATATTTTATTTTTAAATTTATAATTATGTTTAAAAATATAATGATGAAAATGTGGAATTTCATTAAACTGTGTTGGGTTCAATGGAGCGTGGGTGTTAAAGAGTAATAAAGTTGAATAAAAGGTGAAATGCTGGCAGCGACGTGACAATCCATTCAACTTCTTAGAGTTCAATGGACTGTGGATACCCTTAATATTCTCAATGTAGTGTGGATACCCATTCAACTTCTTAGAGTTCAATGGACTATGGATACCCTTAATATTCTCAATGCAGTAGGTGTGAATATCCATGTTTGGATTCTTTGTATCATTCTTTTAAATTGTCGTTGCTTCTACAACCATAGGTAGTATAACATTATTCTTTATGTTATGATTTTGTGGCTTCATTATACCGCACAGTAAGATCCATGTACCTCATTCTATTTGATATATAGATCTGTTAGTCAAGACCTACTTATCAAACTAAGGAATGGGAATTGAACTTGTTGCAGCTTTAAAGCCAGCTTGGTTAAGGTCCATGTGTAATCTCTATCTTATTTTTGTATCTCTACATTGTAAACTAAAATTGGCTTTCTGGAGCTATTCAAAACATTTGACAAAATTTAGTTCATAGCAACAAATTTAGTTCATAGCAACAAACATTTGACAAAACATTTGGCTTTCTACCTACATGTATAGAAAACAAAATAAATCAACAAATTAAAACCAAGAACGACAAAGTTGAATTAGTCTCACAAATCTGTGTTGCTTCACCTATCTACCAATTGGGTGACACCAAAGTCTCAACATATTTCCCTTTTGGAGGGTTGTCGATTCTGTGAGATATCTTTTGGAAATCCCTGGCCGGATCGAGTTTGTACACATGACATTTAGAGCGACAAAGTGTAGCCCAATTCCCGTCCCTCATCAAGTGTAGTGGCTCGTAGCCATAAAAATTTCTCGGTATGGCATACGTTCCCACCTTCGTCCAGTCTCCATCTCCATCTCCATCTATCCTCCATAACTTGGCACTCAACTCTGCTTCTTTAGAATTTACTTTACAGAAGCTATACATCTCACATAAGTGAATTAGTTGGTCTTTGTGTAGAAGCACGGAATTCAAACAGATTGTCGTGTCATCTTGAGGAGAGGGAGTTGGCAACTCTTTGAACTTTTCGGTCTTTGTGTCGAACCTTATAATGGAATATGAAATTAGTTGATGATATTTGTTCACTCTCTTGGTTAAGAAATAGAGATTTTCATTCTGTAGAGTACTTGCCCCCCAAGTTTCTGAAGTAACGGTGCTTATTGAGTTCAAGACCTTCATCGAATCCAGCATTCTCCATGAGTCGGATTTCAACGAGTATATATAAACATTGAGACTTGTGGTCACACGTAGAAGCCTGTAATCATCGTCAGAAGAGCAGTAATACAACCCGGATGCTTTTACTGTAACCCGGTAGCAGTCTACGTGAGAATTGGGTTTAGACAATATTTTATAGTCATTTGTACAAGGATTCCATAATATCATATTGGAGTATACATTATTGCACCCTGGCTCGGTTATGCCTACGCAAACCAGTCCATTTAAAGAAGTTATAAATATCATCCTCGCAGAACTCACTTCAAATGGTAAAGAGCGGCTCACAGGTAAACCATCTTGATCAGGTGTTTCACAGTCGAGATTGTGGAACACCTTTGGGTTTATGGATGACGAGAAGAAGAGAAATTTGTGGTGGTTTTGATGGTCGTCGTTGGTTACGTGGTTGAGGTGAATTGTGGAAAAATAAGGCGTCCTTAAGAAGGAGTTCCATTGCTTGGAGACACACTTGAAACGTGATACATATTTGGCAGGCAGCCTTGGGAGTATATGAGAGAATAGTATTTCCGAGGGAAGCTCCGTATTCATGGTTTTACTGGTACGATGGGGCCCCTCGATGATGTACATATAATATGTTGCTTAGTTTGTGAACAGGTAAGGTAGGGTAATTGGGATATGTATGCGTATATATATAGCCATATATATAGGTATAGGGAGAAACGGTTTTTAATTAATATATGGAAGGTTAAGTTAAACATGGAATGCGTATCTTATATTTGAAAATTAAAAAATAGTAAATATCGACTATCAAAGTACATTATCGGTTACATGAAAATATTTTGCAAAATCTTCAGCAAGATCATAGCCTAGCAGAACAACGTTGTTTTTTTTTCCATGAATAAAGCCCGGCCCAATTCCATTGCTTAGTTTTCGGTTTGTGGGGTTGGCTAATTCCTTTCTTCCAGGTCATTTGCACGTGTTTGTATCTCAATATCAAATGTTTTAAAAACCGGTATTTTAGTTGAACCGGTATGGTGACCGGTTCACGGTTCAACCGGTTTAACCGGTTCGACCGCCGGGTGAACCGGTTTCTATAGTTTTCATGTTTTTTTCTATTTTCCTACATATACATACATATATAAAGTATGAATTTGATATTTATCAGTTCAAACATTAAAAATACACATAAAAATACGTTGTAGATGAATCCAAATACATTAATATAACACATAACCATAAGTTTTAGTGTTTTACATCAATCCATATACGTCAAAAAGAAAATAAAGTATAATACCGAAACGAAATATAGTTTTAGATGAATATAAACACATCAAAAAACTTTATAACATTTACCATATGTTTTTATTTAGAGAAAAGTAAATAGATTTGAAAAAAAATCACCAAAGTTTATTATGTAAATGATTCTTTTTCATGTGTTTTTATTCGGTTTAACCGGTTCAACCAGTTTATTTTGACCGGTTCAACCGGGTTTTTCTAAAAACCGGCCGCTTCAATCCGGTTCAGAAATCAATGTAAAACCGGTGATAGTTGAACCGCTCATTCTCCCGGTTCCCGGTCCAACCGGTTCGACCGGCCGGTTCAAAACGGTTTTTAAAACATTGCTCAATATCGTCTTTTCCCCAAGATTATGTATCTCTTCGTATTACTCTCTAATCTCGCCTATAGTTTTGCCCCATGTATTTAAATTTCGACTTCTAATGATCATGATGTCGAACTTCGAATGAAATTAACTAAAGTTAAAGTTATGCCTCTCTCTCT